AATAAATAAATAAATAAATAAAAAGGCTGAGGGGCCCCCAACTGGATCAGGCCCTCTGAATAGGTGAGACAGTTGATTGGCTTGATCAGTTTGGGAGGCAACTAGGCAGTGGGACTGAGTCCTGTGCTCATTGCATGAGTTGGCTGTTTGAAACCTGGGACTTATGCAGGGACACTTGGCTCAGTCTGGGAGGAAGGGACTGGACCTGCCTAGACTGAGTCTACCAGGTTGATCTCAGTCCTCAGGGGAAGCTTTGCCCTGGAGGAGGTGGGAATGAGGGGTGGGCTGGGGGGAAGGGAAGTGGGGCAGGAAGGGGGAGAACAAGGGAATCGTGGCTGATATGTAGAACTGAATGGCACTGTAAAATAAAATAAAAGGAAAAAAATAAAAACAAAGGTAATTCACATGTATAGCTGGCATGAATGTTAGCTTTTAAGCTCATGTGTAAAGAAACAATGTTTCTTTCCCTTAAGCATCTCTCTATCACATGGAGCGTCGGTCTCAGGTGGCCTCAGTGCTCTCCAGTGCCTAGAGATGAGGCCATAGGCAGGACTCACAGAACCAGGTGGCTCCGCATCCTGATTATTGTCCTTACCAACTGCTGAGTTCCCACTGTGCCACTTTCTCAGGCCTCAGCTTTTAAGATTGGGGAACTCAAAGGAGCCCCAGGGCCTTGGACCAGATGCTCAGGTGACCCATAAACATCCGGGAGGCCTGATGAAGAAAAGAGGTTCTATGTCCCAGACACCAAGAAAATTTCTGTGTCTTCCCAGGTAAGTGGAGACTTGAAGATCCATGAACTGACAAGTGGCGGTAAGGAGGGTTCTCTGTGATGGTGGCTTCTATCTAATAGCAAATTCAGAGCGGGAAGGGGGGTAAGGAGGGAGAGAGAGTGCACATGTGTGCACATGTGTGCATATGTACATATGTGGAAGCCAGAGGTTAACCTTGGGTGCCATTGTTTGGGAGCCTTGCACCTTCTCACTCTATCTCTCTGTCTCTGTTTCTCTCTCTCTCTCTCTCTCTCTCTCTCTCTCTCTCTCTCTCTCTCGTGTGTGTGTGTGTGTGTGTGTGTGTGTGTGTGTGTGTGTGTACATGTGGAAGCCAGAGGTCAACACCAGGTGTCTTTTTCAAT